AAGATTTCGAACTTCTTTATAATGCACTAGAACGTAAGTTTGAAATAGGCTTTGCATAAAATATTAATTTTATAACTTCATTAGTAGGAAAAACAGGTTTACTAAAGACAAAAGGAAGACTATTATTTTAGGAGAATGTCTTGGGAATCTGGATTAGAGAATTTAAGAAGGTGAATAATGTCTTACATTTGAGGATGGAATTAAGACTGGAATGAAATTGAAAGTTCTCTTATATTAACAGTGGATAAATAAGATGTGAATACTGCTCTGTGCCTTATTCAGTTTTAGTATATTATTTCATTTGATCTTCATTCCTGTGAGGTAAAAAGAGAAAGTATTGTCCAGTCTGGTTCTCTGATAGTCTTGGGAATTTGTGATCTCATAGTTGAACTGTCTTGAATCCCTCAGCCCTGCATCCTGTCTCTGATTCTGCTCTTTAGAGGAAAGGCTTGGCAATACCTTTATATTCCCCTCTATTAATGACTCTGTGTGTGTGTGTGTGTGTGTATATATATATATATAATATATATGTATAATATATATTAAATATAACATATAGGTATGTATGTATGTATGTGTATTGTACACCCATTTGACTTCTGTGCCTCATTTCTTCCACAGGATGTGTGCTAGTCACTGACACAGTTACTTGAACAAGCCAATCACTCCCTCCTTTGGGCAGTGGGTACACTGTTCTTCCTGAAGCTTTTCCCCAACGCCCACCTTCCAATCTCAGCTTCACTGTCACCTACTCAAAGGCTTTTGTGAACTGACGATACCACCTGGGTATCCTGTTATCATCTCAGGGTTCTCACTGCACCCCAGATTTTTCATTTATAACGCCACACTTGGTAACAGTACATTTTTTGTTTAAGACTTTCACTGCTGGAGTATAAGCTCCATAAGGGAATAGTGACGTATTTGTTCTTTGGATGATCTCTCTTTCTTCTGTGCTTAGCTCACATGCCCCACAGAAGGTGGCAGATGAATGAGCGAATGAGTGAAGGGCGACCCGAGGGCGTGGTGATGCAGCTCTCCAGCTTCTGCTTTCCCAGGAATGGCTCTGAAGTGGGAGTAACTGGAGCAGATGCCAGAAAGTGAAATTGGGCTTTTGGGATGACATAGAAGAATTAAAAAAAAAATGTTAATTATCCTCAATTTTTTTTTAGTTGGACAGAGTTTTCATCCACAGAAATAATAGTCTCTTTGACTTCTCTATGATTATTCATGATGTTAACTGTAACTTTGCTTCTTTGTATACTATTTGTTTGTGGTGGTGTTTGTGCTCTGTTACCTGTGTCTCCCTTTCTAGTCCAGTACCATTTGAGGTGTCAGTCTGTTTAAATAGCTGTGTGACAGCACGCTGTTCACTGAAGAGGATACAATTAAACACTCGGTCTTACGAGAATATTAATACATTTATCTATTTGATAAGGCGCAAAATTGAGTGGCTTTAGGAACGTGGCAGCGTTTGAGGTAATAGTTACACCTGTTTCTGAGGCTCGTATGTCCGCTCTCCCTTTCTCCTAATCATTGACCTCAGCAAATACTATGTTTTACTTTGCACGTCACTTCTATTTCCATTTTCTCTCAGTTGAAAACAAAGTCTGTTTCTCAGGGTAGTAGTTAAACAGAGAGCACTGTTAGCAAGGTGTCTGTGAAAGGTCTCATTGACAAGTATAAAACTGAAGTTCTATCAGAGCAGAGTTCTCTTCAAATAATGTTCCAAATTCACAGAGGAGTAAACCAAAGGATATCATTGTTATTTGGTTTGGTTAACAAGCAACTGTGCAAACTAGTAGAAACTGTGTTCAGTGAAGTTCTACCATTTCTACTTATTAGTGATATTAACTTGGATAAGTTACTCCCTTCTCCTAGGCTTCAGTTTCTTTATCTATGAAAAGACTTAATAATTTCTGGCACGTCTACTTCAGAGGGCTTTATAAAGTGAAAAATACAAAATATTACATTTATGAAAGTACTTAAAAGTGCAAAGATGTATATATATATATAT